CCTCTTGTTGCTCCCTTCCCTCTCCAAAACCGAGACAACACACGGAGAATGATCAGAAAGGCAACCCGACGGTAAAAAAATCAACACAAGCACAAGCACCATTTTGCATCAAGTTTCATTCACCATCGCCCTATCGAGCTTACTCCACATGGAATTGTTGTTCCAAGTGTAAAGACAACCCGTAGACCTTAAATTCGTGAGGTCAACTTGAAGGCAACAATTAGCAAAATCCTTCAATTCATATGGTATAACTTCCACACCATTACATTTTTCATCAAACTTCAAGATATTATTGAAATCCCCAAGCACCAACCAAGGCAATGAGACCTCCAAATTCATGATACTACTCCAAAGTGGCCTCCGGGAAACAATAGTGTGGAATGCATAAAAAAACTAACTTGGAAAGTAAATGAGGTTACCTTGCAAGTTGCAATGCAATTGATGACTTGTGGTGTACTCTCCACCACCTCCAAAAAGACCTTCGTAGGATTTCATAAAATTGTTAGCTTGCAACAACTTGTTGGATTTATTCCACATAATACGATCCAATTTAGGATCACCCAGTTTTGTCTCCAAAACTCCCATAACAACGATATTGTGCTTCTTGATGAATTCCCAAATCCCATTTTGTTTTAGAGGTAGGTACATACCCTTCCACGTGGCAATCTTAATGTTGTTGAAGCAATGAGATCACCCTTCTTCCTATCATTTAAATTTGCAACCGTTCTATGTTCCCCAAGCTTTCCTTTTGATTTCCCAATAGTGACTTACTTGTGTGAGGTTCCATGTGCATTCAAGGAATCCTTACCCTCAACAATCACCAATGATGTACTCTTCTTCGTTGCGGCTTTCTTTTTATTCACCACTTCAATAAATTTCCCTTCTCCAACATCAATTTTCACCCCCAACACCTTTAGCATTTTTCGGAGTCTATCTGTCTAATTACCAAATTCTCCCCAGCAACTTCTGAAGAAGTTTCGGCAGCTATAGGAATACTGCCTTCACATGTGTTGTCCGCATTCACAGTACACGCTGCCTGGCTACTGACAGCTCAGTCTGTCTGTGTGCTGCCCGTACGAGGGAAGCCTCAGTACAAGAAGGTTGGTCATGGGCCTTAGTTCTAGAACTCACGTTGCTCGCTGTTGTCTGCCCCTGCTTCGACATGTCACTTTCTTCCCCCGTTTCTGACTTTTTATGATTGCATCCATGAGTAGCATGATCGAAAATTTTGCATATGTTACAAATTTTGTGCTCATGCTCGTAGATAATTTCTTGCTCCCTAAACTTATTATTAGGGAGACTCAACTTGACAGTCCTCACCAGCTTCTTTGATGCATAAATCTCCACAAGGGCTCTAGCAAAAGATAGTCTATCGCGAAATGAGGTAATTTTGTTTGTTGAAATAGGCTCACCTACTTTGGACAGAATTTTCCCCAGTATGTTAACATTCCATAACTCCGAGGGTAGCTCCGGTAAGTTGATCCACATTGACATTCTACTAACCTCATTATCATCGAATTCAAAAATATTAGGCATGATTTTAAGTATCAATGGCCTCCCAAAAACAAAACAGGGCCTCCATGTAGTACTCTAAGCCTTTCTGCGTGGGTTTCGAATTTGAATACCAACCATCCACTAGAGTGAACACAATATTTGTAGTCCACTTTCCACGAGTTACACAATTTGAGTAGTGAGGCTTTGCCCGGGAATCCTCAGGCAAAATATCCAACTAGTCCATAACCCCAAGCTTCCTCAATATTGTCCATGTCTTCCTCGCTGATAATTACCTCTTCTGATGAATTTTCAGAAAATTCAAGTTTGAGACTATCATCACAATTATGATTGTCCTTAAAAAGATTAACCCAAGGGGCCTTACTATTGGTGTCCCCTTTAAGCTGTTTTATTTCCTCATGGGGCTTCCTCATCGACTCATCTGAGTCTGTGTCCTCCATGCCAAGGGTACGAGATTCACTTGGCGATTTAATAGGAGTATTAGGAATAGTCACATTCCCCTTGCATGCATTTTTATCAGTCGGGAGACTATCATTAACCAGACCATGTGCAGCAGGAAGTGAAAGTATAACTGGGGAAGTATGCCCAACCCGTGAGCACTCAGGAGTAACACCGGGCCAGTTAAGGGAGTAGGCCCAACCGAAAGGGTGGAGGCATTTTTTCTTACCCGTAACACTGAAGAAGACCAAAGAGATAAGGAGAAAAGGCCTTGAGAGAGGCCCAGAGAGAGAATAAGCCTAGAAGGCGAAGACATGCCCACAACAGAGGCGGGTCCTCACCCCAAACAGAAATTAGAGATGGTTCCCAAGCCCAAAAACAGGCCCAAGGCCGGAAGAGCAGCCTAAGATAACACCTTTGATCCAACAAGAAATAGGCCCAAACCACGTGCACGAAATAAGAGCCCACTAGCCACAACCCGAAAAGGAGAACATGACCCAAGAGAGTTAAATCACGTGCTATATGTGCCTGGGAGAAAAAATAGGAAAAGCAGCTTCCAACAGACAAAAAAACTGACAATCACAGTAGGTTAAAGCCAAAGAATCCAAAAGTCAGAAGACCAATCCGGACAATATTAAATAATTACTCAAACTGGTACTTGAGAAATCCACCGAAAGGATTACCCAATGTTTGACTAAAATTCAAATTGAAACACAAGTTGAAACTTGAAATTTTAGATCAAGCCACAGATACATACACAATACTTACACCCTCAAGAATAAGCCTAGAAGGCGAAGACAGGCCCACAACAGAGGCGGGTCCTCACCCCAAACAGAAATTAGAGATGGTTCCCAAGCCCAAAAAACAGGCCCAAGGCCGGAAGAGCAGCCCAAGATAACACCTTTGATCCAACAAGAAATAGGCCCAAACCACGTGCACGAAATAAGAGCCCACTAGCCATAACCCGAAAAGGAGAACATGACCCCAGAGAGTTGAATTACGTGCTATATGTGCCTGGGAGAAAAAATAGGAAAAGCAGCCTCCAACAGACAAAAAAAACTGACAATCACAGCAGGTTAAAGCCAAAGAATCCAAAAGTCAGAAGACCAATCCGGACAATATTAAATAATTACTCAAACTGGTACTTGAGAAATCCACCGAAAGGATTACCCAATGTTTGACTAAAATTCAAATTGAAACACGAGTTGAAACTTGAAATTTTAGATCAAGCCACATATACATACACAATACTTACACCCTCCCGCAAGAACAAACCAAAACCGTCCAGAAACGCCACCAGTAGGAAAGCGAGCAGTCGTGCCCAACAACTTGAAACTGGGATTAACAAAAGAACTGAGATATCGCAGGGAACAGTCACTGTATCACAAGGAAACTGGAGAGCCATCAACCAAAAAAAAAACCAATCCAGCAACCAAGAACACAAGCGCACCGACAGATAGCAAATGTATCAACCAAACACGGAAAAACCACAGAAACCCAGAGCCACGGCCACCAACACTAGAAATCACCCTCAACCTCCAGAAAACCAAGAAGACCAGAGAAAGGAAGGAGAAGAGAGAAGACCAGAGAGCAATGCTCCTAATACCTGCGAACCCAGTCAGAGACAGAACTGAACTGTGGTTTGCGAAATAAAATAGTAGAAACTAGGGGACATAACTTCACTATAGTAGAACCTGAAGTTGTACCACGAACATGGACTTTTCAAATTCTGAATGCAAACGAAGCAACCCAACTTAAGAAATCTGATAAAAAGAACATGAAACACAAACTTCTAACAGAAAACCAAAGAAAAACCACAAATTTCACTAAGATGTAAGCAAAATCTAGAAACGAACAGAATGCTAAATTAAATTTCCATCAAGAGAAGATGAAAATCTAACCAAACAAAGGAAAGAACCAAGAAACCAAAGCACTTCTATGGGATTTTCTCACTAGAAGTTGAGAGCATCTATCTCTAAACCAAGGTGACTAACTAAGAGCTCTTTCAAACAGAAATCAATCCTCATTTTGTTTGGAGGTACGGTACGACTAGCTTATATCCAATGCTTACGCTCCATAAGGTATTTATCTCCTATCTAATTAATGACTTTTTTCCACTTCCTTTCCTTCATGGCTTCCACTTTCTTCGATTGGATGTCACATACTCAGTTTAGATATTTGTATTCGGGATACCGCCGTACCTGTTCCTATACATCCGACCATGTACAGAACTATCCTCCTTTTGTTTGGAGGGACGGTAGGACTCGCTTATATCCAATGCTTCCGCTCCATAAGGTATTTATCTCCTATCTAATTAATGACTTTTTTCCACTTCCTTTCCTTCATGGCTTCCACTTTCTTCGATTGGATGTCTTATTGCCTTTTGGCCGACCAGTTTCACAGACTATTTTCAGCCCATGACAAGTCGGGCCTAAAGAAATTTTAAAAAAATTAAAAATAAAATTCACAATGCTACACGATGCCTTTGCAGGCAGCAACTAGCTGCCTGATATTTTTTTTAAAAAATCTGGAGCTGGCTCGACTCGAGCCTAAAGCTCAGCTCTATTCGGCTTGAGCAAAAAAAAAAAAGTTAAAACCACTTTTTACTCGAGGTTAGCCCAAGCATCAAATTACGACTCACGAGTCAGCTCGATTCGATTCGTTGACATCCCTAATTCAATCACAAGTTCATCCCTAGTTTATTATTGAGTAATTTTTTTGTTTTTATACCGTTGCCTGGAAATAAGCTAATTGTACCTTTCGCAATGAATCCTACGCCAAGGGATAGAAATCAAAGAAACAAGAAAAAGGAAAAGAAAGTCTAATTCAATTCCCTTACTTGTGACGACTGGAATTCACCAAAATTAACAGTATCAAGACACGTAAATGAAATTCTCATTTCAGTCGGCAAAGTTTTCATTTTCCCCCTTCATCTTCTTTGTCGCTTTCTGCCGTCTGATCATTCAGGAACCTGCAAAAGCCTCAATGCTCTTTCTGAAAACTTTCATTTTAATTGATTTTTCCACCAAAAATTCTCTCTTTTCTCGGATATGGGTCTGTGGGATTCCTTTCTCAACTGGCTCCGGAGGTATTTTTTTTAATTCTTTTTTTTTTTTTTCATTTATTATGAGGTTTCTTCGACAAATTTGTATTGGTTCCTTTTTCAATTTTAAACATGTTGTTATGTTTAATGATGTTATGATGTAATAGTTTGTGTTGTATATTAGTAGTTGTTTGAATTTCTGATAAGCTAGAAGAAAATTCTAGGAAGGAAAAGAAGTTTACTAAGAGGGAATTGGTATTAAATTGGTTGTGTAATAATTAAAAGTGGATTGAAGAATAGCAACTCAGCTTAAAGTTTTGTAATTTTATCACATTTTTGGTGTTTTAGATTAGACCTGCTATAGCATTAATAAGGAAAAAAAAATGAAAAGAAGAAGAAGAAGTTAAAATCTTGTCCATAGTTACGGTGCAAGTCAGCTGCGAAACACGCACTTAAAGGATGAGGAAAGAAATTATGGCTTGGAGGGATGTTCACCTCGTGAGATAGTGAATTATTGAGTACTGAGGATGTTTTGCTTGTACTTGTGTTTGTGTAATATTTGAGGTATAAACAGTAGTAGGAAAGGAGATCAGATGACTTCCAACCCTCTGTATAGAACTTCTCTTAAATAACGGTGAATGCTCATTTGTCTTGAGTAACTAAGCACTCAAATGGTATCCAAGTCTTGGGGATGTGCGGCAGCATTTGCTTTTAAACTATTGTGCCTTTTATCTGGTAAAAGAAATCAGTGCAAGTCAAAGGATGATTGTCTTCATTTATACCAGTGTTTATTATGCGTACTATAATAAAATATAACACTCTTGATGTGTACATTTCTTTTTTCTGTTTCTTATCGTGTTCCCCTCTCAGCTTATTCTTCAAACAGGAAATGGAAATTTCCCTCGTTGGTCTTCAGAATGCGGGAAAGACTTCACTTGTTAATGTCATTGCTGTTAGTGAACATCAACCTTTTCACATTGCTCTGTGTGTGTGGGTGTCATATCTGATTTCACGATACTGATTTATATTATGTTTTTATCAGACGGGAGGCTATAGTGAAGATATGATTCCAACTGTAAGTATCTTATGGTATTTTTGGCGCGGAGAATTAGATAACACTGCATATTATGGAAGAAAAGAAGTTCAAATCTTGTTCATTATACAGTGCAGTCCTATCTAATTCTATGTAACAAACATGCACTGAGTTGACTTTTTATAGATGGAACTGTTTGTATTCTTGCAATAATTATACTTAAAACAGAATTTCCATAACAGGTGGGATTTAATATGCGTAAAGTCACAAAAGGAAATGTGACCATAAAACTTTGGGACTTGGGAGGGCAACGAAGATTTCGCTCCATGTGGGAGCGCTACTGTCGTGGTGTCTCAGCTATACTGTAATTTTTCTCTCTAAAACTTAATTTTTTGGGTATTATATAGAATATTTGCAGTTTATGATTTAGTTCAGTTATAGCAAGAATATGTATATCCTGAATTACCTGCTCGAGAGGTATATTCTTGAACAGTAGCTGAGAGAGGTAGGGGAAAGTGGGGCCTGGGGGTCCCGGGAGCCACTGAAATTTGAGGGAAAAAAAACGTAATGACATTTTTCTTCTTTTTTTAACCTTTTGTTTTGATATTATATTTTGTGTTTGAAAAATAAAATTCGAAGTTAAATTAGGCCCCACTGAATCCGAGTCCAGGCTCTGCCGCTGTTCTGAAATGAGATTTTCTGTGTTCATATATGTTAGATGCATGTGTTAAAGCAATGAGATAACTTTGGCCAATGTTATTACTTTTATGTTTTTTAATTGATGGAAGTTGAAAATAAGTAAATACTTATTTTACTTTAAGGTAGGAATTACTTTCAAATAAGCCATTTTTTACTTTTTACTTAAAAGTATAAAAAAATAACATATTCAAACATTTTTGAAAACAAAAAGTACTTTAACCTTTTTTAAGCTTAGCGAAATATGTTTCAAGGGCATAGTATCTTTTAACTTGACAGTAAAAAAAAAATTGTCTATATATGTCTGCAAACAAGTATTTTTTTCATATTTCTGCAAACAAGTATTTTTTACTTATTTCTAAGCTTTAGCCTATCAACTATCATGCTCTTGGTGAAGTCATATTTTGGGTATTGAGTTCTAAAGAGTATGCTCATGTACATTAATTGATTCTTTTCTTGTTCATGAGGCAGATATGTTGTCGATGCTGCCGATCGAGATAGCATTCCTATTTCTCGAAGTGAATTGCATGATCTGGTGAACAAGCCTACATTAACTGGCATTGCTTTGCTTGTTCTTGGAAACAAAATTGACAAGTCGGAAGCACTTTCAAAGGAAGCCCTGGTGGATCAACTGTAAGTTAGCACAACACTCGTGACTCTCGTCTTGGATCACATCTGGTTAAGCTTAAATGACTTATAGTATATAGGCAAATTTTAAAATAAAATAATTTAATTATTGGCTAAAGTTTGAAATAAGTTAAGTTACTTATCGTGATGTAAGGGGATGGTTACTTTGCAACATTTTTACTCGAGGATGGAGAAAAGTAATGTATCCAAACATGTTTAGAAACAAAAACAGTGTAACTTCTACCTATTTATAAGGTTACCAAACATGCTTAAATCTTCTGTTCTCTCTCTCTTTGAAAATAATTACTTATCATTCCTCTTGTTTTTATTTTGTTCAGAGATCTTAGTTCGATAACAGAGAGAGAAGTATGCTGCTATATGATCTCGTGCAAGGATTCCGTAAACATAGATGTTGTCATTGATTGGCTTATCAAACACTCAAAAACAACAAAATGATCAAAGTTGAGCAAAATACTGGATCCCATATTTCCTTAAAGATCTTGAGCTGAGTAGGATGGGAGGGTCCATCCGTTTTCGTGGAATTTGCTTGCCGCTGTTTTACTGCTGCTTTTCCATGCAATTTTCTGTGTAGTATCTTCATAGTCAAGTTCATTGTTAGTCTGGTTTTCGTCTATCCATGGTTTTATGGCTTTTTTCCTGAGTTGAATATGTTGGCTACAGTAGAGGATCTATAAGATGAGTTGTTCAAGTCCACTGCTAGATTAACTTAATGAGCAATTTCTTATATAGCTTTATTAGAAAGAATATTGGGATTAATTCAACCTAACAAAACCAACTAGTTAAGGGAGAATTGTCCTCACCTTATTAAGTGGATCGTGTAGATATCATCAATCAATGTGAGATTCTAATACGCCCCCTCACTCACAGCGTGGATTATGCCAAACAACTGTGAACAAATCGATATTGGGTACACCCAACATTGCAAAATTGAGCTTGCTCTGATTCCATATTAAGAAGGATATTGAATCTAACTTAACCTAAAAAAACCTGCTAGTTAGGGGAGGATTGCTCTCATCTTATTAAGTGGATCGTGTAAATATCACCAGATAATGTGAGACTCTAATAGGCTTTAAAGAAATTCATATTTCAAAAATTCTGCTCGTGAATGAAATAGTAAAAGTCCGCCTGACCGGAGAAAATATGCATATATCTAAGATCAGATATAAAATCTCCGTCGTTGGGGAATGAACATATTATTTTCTCTCATTCTAGTCAAAACCTGAGAAAGATGTTCAAAGAAGAGATTCGGAAACGAAGGAACCTTCATTGAATTCGACTCACCCAAGAGGGTGGGAAAAAGTGACTTCAACTAGTGACAGAATACCAAGAGCCATTACTCCTAACTCGTGTAATGCAATTCTTGAAAGAAAATTTAAACTTCTTATTTAAGTTTTAACAAAGATAAAGTAAACTTACAATTATGCAAGAACATAATTCCAAAACCAACATCGTTGTTGATCAACTTTTGAGTAAAAAAGACTGAAAACCGTTGGAATTTGAGCAATGCCATCATTAAGCGCACATATGTTAGTAATTAATTACTTCAAATGCACTCAAAAGAATGAAAAGAAACCCCCACCCACAAAAACAAGAAAGATGACAAGAATATAAAGGGATTCCGAAATAGTAGTTAAGTCATTCAAAAGTCTATGCTCGACGACTAGAGCTTACAAGATGAGACTAGTTAAAAATGTCGAGACCCAAAGTTTTGCGTTTCAATGTTTTAAATTTAAAAGAAAAAGTTATTACATTTGAATAATAATTTTTATTGACTCGTGTGGGTGAGTCTGACACAACATTATTGACGTGGTATTCTTGACTCAAATTTTAATATTACTCATTTATAAAAAATTCACGTGTTCTTGTTTATACATGTCGAATTGTATTTGCTACCATTTTTTGCATACATATATGAAAAGATCAATGAACTTTATAGTTGGCGATAAGCATACTTGTTTAGAATAAAGAGCAATCCACCTGTTTTAAGGGTCCATAAACTCATTAACAAAACTAAAGTTTGGAGAGTTAGCTAATTGCATGTGGCTTAAAGTCATGAATAATAATATTCATCCACACTGGGTTGAGCACCAGTCTACGTGGCAATTAAATGACATTAAATGATAGACTCAATTCCAATGTGGATGAATAGCATTATTCTAAAGTTATAGGGTATCACAAATTAAAGTTGGTCTACGAGAGAAAAAAAATTAACATTGTGAAAAATTTGTAAGCAACACACCGTGACACCTCAACAAAACCGTTAAATTCACTTAAAAGAGTGATCTAACCGAAATAACTTTGTTGATTTCGGTGACTATCTACATTAAAAAATGTTCTGTAACTAAATGATACGTCTTTCGAGACTTAATTTTTTATTTATTTTTTTAGTGTTATTGCACATTAAATAGCAGTGCGCAGATTATAACTTCAATGCACTTTTTAATATTCCTTTTTTTTTTTTTTCCTGAATTTCGTTTTGAGATTCACACCATAATGAATTTTGTCCTTAGGAAAGCAAATCAGAGTGAGAAACTTCCAATTCGGTTCTTGACCATTTAATTATTAGTGAATTAAGTCAAATATTGAAAGGACCAAACAGTAACCTCACATGGCATTGATTAAGTTGGTATAACATATTAATCAATTAACTGTCACACACACACACAGGGGAGGAGAGAGAGAGACTAATAACAACATAGTTTGAACAAATTAAGGTTGCAAAAGCTGAAGTTGGAAGAAAAACGACAAATTACACAGTTCATTCAGACAACCAAAATAGTGATATTTAAATCCCAAAATGAAAAATAAACTAGTCGCTATTGGAAGATTAAGGAAGGAAAAATAAAAAAGAAATGCACAGTTGATTCTCAATCAAAGAACTTAAAGAATGAGCAAACAATTATGTTTTTCTTCTAGGGTGGTGTTGCACCCGAATCAGCGGCATCGACAATGTCACCACTCGAATACCGTAAGCTCGATCGACAGAGCTCTTCCATTTTGTGAGTTACCTCGGCCATCGTAGGGCGTTTATCAGGGTACTGAGCCGTGCAGTCAACTGCAAGTTGTAAAAGCTGAACCATATCTTCCTCGACATTGTCATATCGAAGGAGTTCGAGGTCAAACACTTCGGCAGACCACTCTTCTCGGACCACAGACTGAACCCATCTTGGGAGATCGACCCCCTCCTCGTTCATTAATGTATGTGTGGGAGCCTTACCTGTCAGCAATTCCAGTAGCAATACTCCAAAACTGTATACATCCGCTTTCTGGGACACTTTGCGAGGATCTGTTACCTCTGGTGCTCGGTAACCAGCAACACGGTTTGGAGTGGCTGTTGGGGCAGCTAGCTGAGCAAGCCCAAAGTCAGAAACACGGGCTTCGTAAGATTTGGTAAGGAGAATGTTCGACGATTTAATGCTGCCATGGGAAATTGTTGAGCCTTGTGAATGAAGGTATGAAATTCCACGGGCAGCACCCAGGGCAATCGAAGCCCTCGACTCCCAATTTAAGGGCGTCCTACTAGCTCCTTTATTTCCTGCAATAAAATAGAAGAAGAAAAAAAGAATTCGGATAAATGAAACTGACAAGGTGAATATATGCCAATTACTTGATAAAATTTTGGCTTATGGCATACAAGAATATGACATTTCTCACAAATGGCAAAGATGAATATATACCAAATGATGAGTGATCATACACTATGTAGGCTTGTAGCTAATGTAAGAAAAATGCTTACTGTGTGTTCACAAGAACGTCTTAACATAGATGGCTAAATAAGGACAGAGAAGCAGTATTTGGTCTGAAATAAATCTCCATAATCGATAATTTAGCTGCTCAACCGGCTCTACATGTGTTTTAATACCTGATTTTGGCATATCAATGGCAACTAATAATCACAATAAATTGATTGCAGCATGTACATTGCGATAAACAACCGAACCACCACCATTACACCGGCCTCTCTCCACCCCGTAATAAATAAAGTAAAAGAAAAGCAACATCTAACAGGCCATTTGCAGTTCTTACAGTTACAATTTGCTCTGCAGTGAAAGATCGTCAATCTGAGACTATGGAAATCAGTAATGCAAACAATGCAGCACATAACATGAAGCAACCAAAACCACCATCAACATTACCCCAAACAATCCAATAATAAAACGTCATGCAAGAGAATTACAGCGAAATCCAGACAAATCGATAGTTCATAGTATTCTCACCATGTAAAAGTGCAGACAAGCTCCCCATTGGCAAGTAATCATAGACAAGAAGCTTCTCATCACTGTGATAGTGATAAGCTATCAAAGGAACCAAATTCTCATGATTAATTCTCCCAACCTCCTCCATCTTCTGCCCAAACTCCTTCTCCCCCAAATTCACATCCCTCAGTCTCTTCACCACCACAGCCAAGCCCGTTTCCAACACTGCCTTGTAAGCAGTTCCAAACGTCCCCTTACCCAACACCTCGGCCGAAGCCTTCAATAGATCATCCAAATCAAACATCAAATCCTTTCTCCCCACAAACACCAACCCCTTTTTCCCACCACCAACCACATTAGCTTCTCCTCTGTCCTTCTCCTTCGCCCCCACTGCAGCCGCGAAATTACTGGCAGGCGCATCCGTGCCCTCACCCTCCACCGTTTTCTCACGATGAACCCCGACCCTGTACCCCTCAACCCCTGTCACATCCTTCGATCCAGCTCCCTTCCTACCCAATTTCCTACACAAGCAAAAAATAAGCAATAAAATCAAGAAAAGACCGAGCACTGCACCAATTACTATGCCAGCAATCGCGCCACCTGAGAGTTTCTTCTTATGCTTTTCACTACCACAAGAATTGTCAAGTGGACTACCACAGAGTGCATTACCAAGAAATGAACTCTTGGACTTCCCGGAAAACCCTTTAGGAATCTCGCCAGTGAGGTTATTATTCGAGACATTGAATTGAACTAAACTGGGTAAATTCAGGTCAGGAATGGACCCGGAGAAATGATTTTCTTGCAAGTATAGCGTGCCTAAACGGATCAACTTGTTGAAGGCAGGTGAAATCGGGCCAGAAAAAATATTTTCCGCTAGATTTACTCGGACAAGGGATGTAATAGTAAACAAAGAATCCGGGATTTGCCCACTGAAAAAATTGTGCTGGAGATAAAGATTTCGAAGAAGCGAACGCGAAGTGAAAAGGTCCGCTGGAAGTGGGCCGGAAAGTGCATTATACCGGAGACTGAGCGTCGTGAGATTAGTCATATTCGAGATAGTATTGGGCGGGAGCATGCCGGAAAGGCCCATTCCTGGAAAGTGAAGCTCAGTGACTGAAGAGTTGTCAGGCGAGCATATGACGCCAGGCCAAGTACATGGGGTGGCGCTGGACAGGTTCCAAAGAAGGACACGACCGCCCACGGAGGAGCGGAGGGCTAAGAGGGCGGCGCGGTCGGAAGTAATGTCCGGGGTGATGGCGGGGAGGAGGAGGAGGAGGAGGGCGGCGGCGGTTGTTATGAGGAGGAGATTGAATTGCCTCATTTTGCAATGAGGAGAAAAGATGGGATTGGAAGCCAACAAAAACTTGGAAAATGTCGGATTTGAGAGTCGAGGAAGTTAAGGAGTGAGATTCACGTAGTTAGTTGAGTTCTCAAGTCATTTTCTTCTTGTCTCCAGTTTCACTGTGATTTAGAGACAGAAGGGGAAGAAAGTCTGGACTGTGTGACAGAGAGAGGGCCCCAAAGTTATGAAATGTATGTGAGAGAGAATTAAAATACAATGAGGAGTGCAAAGTCCAAACTATTACTTTTTAAGAAATGTCAACTTTAGTCCTCAACCTATTATAGAAATATCAATTTGATCTTCAAAGTTTAAAAAGAGCAAATTAATTCTTACCTTTTAATTATATATATATGGTTAATTCATTTGTACATAATGAATTACCACTTCTCACGTGATGTGCGGGATTTGTGTGTATTTAAAATTTTGGACAATGTGATCCACATTTTCATTATGAGTAGTAGGTAAAAGATTCAGTAAAAAAATTCGATACATTTAGCATGATCCATATATATAAGAATTCATTTAACATATATTTTGACAATTTCGATTGTTGATTACAAATTTTGTAACTATGTTGAAAGGTCAAAAAACCTACTTACAGTTTAAACAATAGATTGGGGATTAATGGTGCAAATTTCTCTCTCTTATTTCCATCCTTTATTGCTTCCACTTCTAGTTTGGCTGAGATGGAATAATATTTTTTAGGGGGTCAAAATGAAATAACGAGATAAAAGTGGGACATTAAAATAAAATGCAATTATATAATTTTTTTTATTTGATTCTTGTAAGTTATGTTCATGTTCGGTAAGAAAATTAATATCCTAAAATGGAGATTAAGTTAAATTTTTATTAATTATATGCTTTTAATTCTGATTAAATACCTTCTTATAAATAATTTGTAATTAATAGCAAAGTTATAGCACACGTGGACTATTCACCACTAACGATTTTATCATTAGCAATCCACCAATAATTTTTGGAAGGACATACACCTCCTTTTAAGTGTAATTGAAGTTTTCACATTTCTTGAGTAGGTAGTCCTATGTACCAACCATACAAATAATTATCGCATATATTTTAATCCCCTATTTATCCTCCTAAAAAATTTTAAATTATTCAGGGTCCGTTTGATTGCAAGATGGAAAATGGGGTAGAAAGAAAACAAATTCCAGGGAAAATAATTGCCTAGAAATTGTTTTCCCGAGAAATGTCAATTAGTTGTGTTTGATTGGTATAATTTTCTCCCGAAAAATATTAAGATTTGGTGTTTGATTGGTTTTGTTTTCTATGTAAATTGTATCATGCCATTTTCCAATTTCTTTCACCTCACATAATCCATCTCCATTTCCATTTCCATTTCCATTTCAATTCAACAAAATAAAAACAGCATCCTCCCATTTTCTATTTTCTTCACCATCACTGAACATCTCATTTTCATTTTCTTCACACATTCGCCGCCTCTGGCTGTCATCTTCAACGGTTTGGAGGCAACTTATTTTTTGCAATTCAATGGTTTTTTTTTTTTTTTTGAATTCGAGCTAAATTGACGAAAACCCATGTATATATGTTGTCCGTCATAATAAATAGGAGGTAATGGTGGTGGTGCGCGATCGAGATTCTCAACATCGGCGCCGGAATTTGGGATGCACTGTGCGCGATTTGCTGCTTTGGAACCGGTAAGAGATGCAATCCATTATAAATCGTTTCTTGATGATATGGGACCATGAAAATGCTCATCTTGATGAGTATTTGGGGCCTGTAATGGAGTATGGCCTTGGGTGTTGGAGGGTTGGCCGGAATGGGTGTTGGAACCGTGTCTGAAGCGTCATTTTTCGACTGAATTTTTGGTGATTTCGGAACTGTTATGTCCGGTTTTTGGTATGGAATTGAAGAGTGGGATGAGGAGATGATGATGGTGTGGAAATTCGGTGGGTTGCTGGCGGTATGGTGGTTGAATTTTGGAGAAGAAGGTGTTGGCTCCATGGTGGGAATTTGTCAATTTCCAGTTTGCCAAGAAAACAAAAAACCAGCTATGAGGTGGGAAATTGAATTCTTTATTTTAATGGAATTGGGGGTCACGTGCAAGAAAGTGGGAAAATCTTTTGCCTGGAAATTTTTGTCTTTCAAACAGGTTAAAAAATGGAAAAATGGAAAATATTTTCAATCTTCCATGGAAAATAGGCCTTATCAAACAGGCCCTTACTACAGTACCATTTTCCACCAAACATTCACTATTCTTAAGTCAGAAAGAGAACAACTTTCTTACTGATTATTCAAAGATGGCACTATAACAACTAGCACCTTAGCGAGTCCTTTCATTCTTTAGAATTTTAAATTGTTTACTTTTTAACCACGCATTCTTCATCAATTTATTATTTTATAATACATTACAAGAAATTAATAACTCTCAAATAGGGCCTAAGTAAGTACCTCGATCGACTATACCTACTTTTGCTCTGGCAAAGAAGTCACTTAAATGTAAAACTACCTGAATTTTATAGATTCTTTTCTTGGATAAAATGACCATAGTAAAAAGTAAAATCTTTCAAGTGAGTGTTTGTGTTTAACATGCCATAGTAAAAGTAGTTCAGACTTGTCCTTCTCCAAAAACTTACCATTAGATTAAAATCTCATTAGAAATTAATTAAAATATTTATATGATACAGGTGAGCAATAGATTTAAAGGAGTTTACAAAGCTGGATTTTAAATATTTATTTAGTCCAAATTGTGTAATGTTTGTCTGACAAATATGTGATATCATAAGTTAGTAGGTACCACCAAATTTATTGAAATTCATGTGTTATTTATTAGCATGAGAGGATGGGCCATATGGATAACCTTTTTTTATTTTTTTTATTTTTTATTTCGACAATAATAGTACGCTTTAAAAATATTTATAGAGTTATCATATCGAAACATCATTATATAGGTGTACAAATTTAACTAAGAATAGAATGGGACCATGAAAAGAAATCTCATCTTAATAAATAAAAAGTATAGTATGTCTAATTGTAACATATTAATAAAATTGGTATTGAAATTCGTCGCTATTATAGAATTGTAGGATTGAGACCTTATATATTAAAGATCTATATTAATAAGATTTGACATTTTAAGGTGTAATTATAAAACTCAACACGGTATCGATGTTTAAAATCAGGGGCGGACCGAGACCATTTTTCTTGTGAGGTCAAAAATGAGAATTCAAAAATGTTTAGGTAAAAAAAATTGTGGGGGGTCATTTGACCCCATGTGGGTCCACCAGTGTTTAAAATACTAATATATATATATATATATCGTCGTCTAAACGCTCAAACAAAATTTCAAATTTGTTATTCTTAAACAAGCCATCAATTTACACAAGATATCAAGGATAATATATGATGCCACGTAAAAATGAAAGTAACAATCAACATTTTAAGATTGAACTACTTATTTAGCCGATGTTTGAGCTTCATTTTCTGAAAATTATTTTTTCAAATTTATTTTTAATTGCACATTACTCTAATAAAATAATTTTGTACGTAGACTTGTAATTTTTTCTATATTTTAATCATATATTCTCCAAAAAAGAAAAATTTTACAAAATTTATTCCTAACAAGTCTCTACCAAATAATGGAATTAATTTTTAAAATGAAAGTTCAACATTGTTCTTACGATGTCACAAATCAATCAATCTACCTTATTCGGTTGATCCTTAGTATATATGTATATATAAGTTTAATTAATTTGTTATTATCAACGTATCAAAACTTTGAAATATAATTATTCTAAATCTCTCACTTTTGTTATCTTTTTATTTTACCTTAATTAGAGTTATAATTTAATTTCATTAAAGAAATATTAAATTTAAAAAAAAAAGTGAAAAAAAAGATAATGACAACCAAAATTTGCCTTTGCCTCTGCTGTCTTATATTCTCATTTGGTAATGACAACCAAAATGGCCTTTGCCTTTTGCTCTTAATCATTATCATATAATTTGAAATATCTTTTATTTGCAATTGAAGTGAAAACAATATCAAATTACAAAGATAGTGTTCAAATTGAAAGGTAATGAAATTGAGTACCAATTTAAAGGGTGGGTCTAAAGTGAATTATATTGTGTCAGTTCTACCAAACTAATGAAAGTACTTCGTTATAAAATTATTACCCGTTTGGCTTTTCTTGAGTAAGTTTCATGATCTAATGGTCCGTTTTCTTGATCTTCTCTTGCTTCTTGTTCCAACTCGCTGATTAATTTGTATAACCATCGTACACTGTCCAACGCAAATTGAGATTTTTTTTCTCAATCGACTCATAAAGGTCACGTTGGTCCAGAATGTTGCACTCTAACCTCATAGTAAATTAATGAATTAGGACAACATTTGTTTTATAAACTGCAGATAGACTTGGAGTATTGTTAAGAACATCGCTCATGCAACCAAGTTAAGTGTAATGGAAGAACAAATAGAAGATACTTAAGATGAGGATCAATGATACAAATGTTTAGAACTTCAAACAATACTATTAAACTTCATAATATTGGAGGGAATACTTTGTATTGTTGCTCAATTCCAAACCCACAAATTCAAAACCATAACAAGCAAAGAGGAGCAAGTTGCACATGTCCTAATAGACAAAGAATAGGGAAATGATCTAATATCTCAACTTTCACACACTTATAGACAATTTTTTCTATGGAATTTGACCCCTCAGATAAGCATACTTCTCTTTTTCTAACATATATTTGCTGCAATTGTGCACTTACATTAAGTAGCTTTCATTCTTCTGCTACAGTCAATCTGTAATTGCAATTTTTTTTCTTATACTAGCTGCCTCATTTAGCAGTCAATTTTCTTAAATTTTAGTTTTTATTTGACTCATCTGATTAGGCATCAAGAAGAAAATAAAACCAACCCCAAAGTGCACAAAATCAGGATCTATATTTACTTTCCATGAAATCTGGCCATTATGATTCTTAGCTTCCGTTCATATCCT